AACAATTCATCAAGGAGGGGAATTTCTTTTGTACCTGTGAAGAAAGATTAGGTGCTTGTGTACAATGTAAGAATATTTGATTTGTAAGTTCTCCTTAAAGCATTTATATCTGTCATGATCAGAGAGTACAGCTAAGAAACTGAACTCCTCTAGTGAAGTTAAGAATACTATGGTAAAAAGTATACTCAAGTGGCAGGTTCAGAGCGTTGTCTCTAGTTCTGTCCTATTCAGCCTTTTAGTCAGTGAGTCAATTATCACATTATCTGAGGACAGGAAACTGTGAGGGCTAGTGTATGTGGAATAAAAGACCAAACATCCAGTCCTTTCCTTCTAATAGGGTAACAATTAAAAGGAAATGCATCCACAGTTCTGTGAAAATGAAAGTCGCTCAGTCATGTCTGACTTGTTTCTCAATGGACTATACTGTCCATGGAATTCTCCAGGCCAGAATACTGGAGTGGGTAGCCTTTCCCTTCTCCAGGGAATCTTCCCAAACCAGGAATCAAACCCAGACCTCCCACATTGCAGGCAGATTTTTTACCAGCTGAGCCACAAGAGAAGCCCCACAGTTCTAGCTCTGTAATTATGTCCAAATAATTAGTGTATGAGGGTTTGGGTGGGAAGAAAATACCTCATTGGTTTTAGTTCACTGTATGCTGTGAGAGCAGCATCAAAATTCACTGGATTTTTACTCTGCACGTGTAAAAGTGTTTCATTGAAGAAACACCTAACGAAGCCCTGTTGGATGCAAAGAATGGACAGTAGTGAAGAACACACATGTGGACTTTGTAAATTAGGACTTAAATTTTAATAGAAAAACAGAAATGAGGTAAATTTTAAAGTTAAATGCTGTACCATAATTGGGACATGTGTCAAGAGGGAAAAGCATAGAATGCCATATGTCCACATAACAAGGAGACCTGAGCTGTGTCAAAATCACAACAGGCTGCTTTGTGGAAGTGGTTTTACTGAGATGTGAAAGATGTCAGAGAACTAATGAGGTAAAAGAATGAGGGTCATCCAGGGAAAAGAAATGGCATTTATAGAGCTTTAGCCATAAGTGAGAATATAGAGTGAGAAGAACAGACATGAAGGATTGGTCGTCTATTTCATTTCCTGTATCTCTCACATCCTTTGCGTCTTTTCAATGGCAGAGTCCTCTTTGATTTTTAGTGTCATGATATCCCCAGCTCTTTCTGCTCTCTTTCTTATTCTCTACCAGCACCAACAGCCACAACTCCTCAATCCACATTTTAAAGTTTCTCTTTTCCAATTCTGGACATTTGGCTCTCTTGGACTAAATGTTTTTGGTTTCCTGTTGCTTGTAGACCGAAGACAAACTCTCCAAATTGTCATATATGATTCTCCCAAATGCATAAAAATCCATACAAGTATTTCTCCATTCTAACCCTACAATAATATACACAGTATATCATGGGAGCATAATCAGGAGAGATACAACATGAGTGGTAAAAAGTGAACATTTCTTGTGTTTTTGTCAGACTTGATTATTCACTGATATCTTATAATGCTATATGCATTAATATCTCAGTTGCCTTGATCTAGCATGACGGAGATCCTTCCTTCATAAGATAATCCTAAATGAATCGACAGATATACTGTTTTCCTATTTTTCCACATCAATATCCCATCAACTTTTCAAAGCTCCATCATAAACCCATCCCATTTACATCACTTCTATGACACATTAGGATTGCTCCTAGCTTTACCTCAATCTACTCTAGCAACGTGTTGGCATCACGTCTTATTCTTCTTCACTCTACCATGCAATATGGTAATTTGTGTGTTTATATCACCCTCTCCTTCTCCACAAGTGGAGGGCCTGCTTCTGGCAAATAGAGACTTTTTCAAACCTCAGTTTAAGTCCTCACAGTATCTATGACATCTGCCTTACTAATCTATAAGGTCAGTAAACTTCAAAAGTTCTTCATTTGTTTGTTTCCCTTCGGTAACCACTGCTACTATTCCTGATATAGCAGAGCCATTTCTTGAAATGTAATCTTACATGGAAATATGTAAAAGAGGGGAAAATCAAAGCTTTCTGGATGGCAAGGGAGTGATTGTTAAATCTTGTCCAAATATCCCCTTCTTGGCTATTCCTGACTGACTCTATAGAATATCTATGGCTCTGTTCAATGTTGTCTGAAATGTAGAATATTCACTTTTTATGTCATTGTAAAGTAAGGACAGCATACTCAATGTTGCCACCTCTGATCTTGATGTAAAGTCCTAAATTCATGCTTGAAATAAATTTTATAAGAGACAAATACATGAAGATGTGTGTGACCTATTTGTGAGTGTATGTTTCCTCCAATTGCATTGTCCCCCTTATTGCCAAATTTTCCCTCAAATAAATAACCATCCTCTCTGCTGGAAATATCTAGACATTGAAGGAAATAAAGGTAAGCTAGTAACACAATAGAATTAGATATTTTGGGCAGTAAATTACTTAGAAAGTGCTTACAAGGTTTTTTTCAAGGTCTTTTACTTTTTGGAAGAAGAAAGTGAAAATACAAGAAAGCTGACACTTCACATGCATGAAGGAGCCAACGAGGTATTGATAGATTGCCTTGGGGCAGAGTATTCTGTCATGTTCTGAAAGGCTTGGGCCATCCCAGGTAGAGGCTGGGGCAGGACTCAAGAAACAATAAACCTGGCTATGAGGGAAGAGGTTGGTTTTGGTGGACAGTGTTCCTGTATGTGGGTGAAAGGTATCTTTGTCTAAAAGAACATGATTTGGCTGGATTCTGCCCTGAAGAGTTGCCAGGCTTTGTTCATCTCTAGAACAACATCTCTAGTAATATCTCTAGTAACAACATCTCTAGTAACATTTCTGGTAACAATAATACAGTACTCCTAATATAAAGGACAACTTAAGGAAATAGAGGAGAGAAGACAAAATGGAAATAAAAGGGAATATGAGATATTTGGTCTTATGATATATATATATACATACACACAGTGTTCTAATATCTTTTCATCTTTCACTACCCAAGTCCTTGACTCACTTTCCTTTTGCTGCTCTTCCTTCCTTCTGTCTTTTTCTTCCTTCTCTCTTATTCATCCCCCTTTCCCTTCTATCTTTTGATTTCCTATATTTTGTTTACTAGGAATTACTGTTAAAGCCCTAAAGATGCTGCACAACCAGGACAGCAAAATCACTGACTTCTTAGGAGAGCCAGTCAAGAGATTGGCCCTCTTCTCAGGTTGTCTGGAGGCTGTTAAACAAGCTGAGCAACCCTAATCCAGTCATACTGCTCCAGTCTCAGTAGAGACTCAGTCTATTTGGAGGATTTTATAATTCTGGGACCTACTAGATCATGCTTGACAGGCCAAATAATTACTGACTAGGATAGTTACTCTAAAAGGAAGAAAGAGTGGTATCTCACTTCTCAGATAAATGTGTTTTTGAATCCAGCTTTCTGATCAGTTGGACAATTGTCCAGAGCCCCCAAGCAGGGGACAGATGCACACCAGTATTTCTGCCATTCAATTGTTCAGAGTGTTTATGATACATGGGTTTCCTGTGGGTCTGCTAGTAGGCAGCTGACGGTGAGCTACTTAATTTTCGCCAGATGGTGCTTGCAGAGTGAGGGAGACAGAGAGGCTCTGGTGATGACTGCAGGTGGTGAGCTGTGGGTACCAGAACATTTCCCCTGATTAAAAAGGAAACTATGGCATTGGGGATCCCCAACTTGTGAAAGTCCGGGATAATCACAAGGATCCCCCATAAGAGAAACACTTGTCAGTCAGGGGGAATTTTAGATCAGTCTGTCTGGACCAAGAGAAGGCTACAACAGCACCATGTAAATCAGTGATATCAGAAATTTCCCATCTCGTTACCATCTACCGTGTTCCAGCATCCCCAAGGAATGAAGATCCAGAGAGAGAGAGAGAGAGGGAACCTTGCAGAAATGGACACATCGATGCTTCCTGGTAGGTCCCCTGGGCCTCAGCAGGGGAGAGGGAAACATTGAATAGGCTGAATATGAGATGGACTTGACACTTGACTGACCTGGCCTTGTGAAACCCAGAGTGATAGAATGTATGGAACGGTTGCAAGGTGATGCAGAAAATGAGGATGCAGTGGAGTGTGGGTGAAGACAGCCACTGGAGGAGGATGGAGACTGTTCACATTTGTATTTGCTATGGTCTCAACCTCTGTGTCCCCCAGAATATTCAGATGATGAAATCCAGATTCCCATGGTTATGGCATCCATAGGTGGAGCCTTTCTGAGGTGATGATGGAGTTATAAGGATGGAGCCTCCTCAATGAGATGAGTGCTTTTATATAAGAGACACACTGAGCTCCCGAGCCCTCCCCCCGTGTGAGGATACAATAAGGAGTGTGAGACCAGAAAGGACCCTGCGTGACCACGCTGTGGAAATCCATTCCCATTGTTATAAGACTGTGATATTTTGTTATAGCAATGTAGAAGACCTCAGACAGCATCGTAACAATCTTTAGAAGATTCAGTAAACCTCATGCTGTTTGTACAAAGTTGAGAAGCACTGATCTTGTCTGGTGTAACACTGTGACAGTGGGCTGACACTTCGTGGCTGGCTTTCATAAAGAATCCTGAGGATTCAGTCTCCTTGGTACCATGACCAGAACCATGAACAATTGTCTAATACTTTGATTCTCATAACTTGACCCAGAATAATTTTCTGTGATTCTTATGCAATCTCTTAATGGTCTTCTTTGTAATGCCAGCTTCTGCTATTTGTGACTAATTTTAATAGGAGCTTCATTCTCTCAATTGTAGGGGTGGATTTTCTTTTGATGTTTGATTAAATGAAAATAAGAATGTTAAAAAACTACCCTCTTAGATTTTGACATCTCTACAGAGTCTGTGTTTATTTTTTTAAGAGGAGACCCATTTCATAGAACATGCATGAATAAGCTGTAAATTTCAAAGAAGCTTGCTATGGGAAAGATCATTAGGACTGTCTGAGAGCTGGATGGGATGGATGTGGATTTAGCACTCGTCGCTGATTCGGCATGCCAGGATCTTGCTGTACATGTCAACTTTATGGGAATCCCTGCTCAGGCACTTCAACAGTGTATAAAATGCAGAATGACGTGCATCTTCATCACTGGCGACCAGGGATCCGTATCCTGACCAGAAAATGGGATTCTCAATCAACTTCGATCTGACTGGATCAACAACCTGAACATCCAAAAGAAAATGACTTTTTACGCATTTTATTATTATTTGCTTATCTTTGCCCCTTGTAATTATAAATTAAGATTTGGGGAACACATGCGAATAGAAAACTCTATTTTGGAGCCAGCTTTTGAGAAAACAATTAGGAATCTAAAAAGTAGAAACATAACTCAAGTTTAATTTTAACTTTCTCATTTCTTCCTTCCCACTCTCATCCTTTGATTTGAGAAGAACAGAGAAAAAGACAAGTGGAATTCAATAGCTGATGCCCTGGGATACTTTGAGGAAAATGCTGAGCTTGGAAATTCTGTTCTCTAGTTCTCTTACTCTTGAAAATATTTCGACCACCTGTGCCTAGGAAGAGGCAAGCTTTTGGTGGAATTGTGTGCAATGCAGGGAAGGCTGCACATGACAAAAATTGCAGTAAAATTCTGATTCCTTTACAGTAGAATCCATCACTATAAATGACTAGGCTCTTGCTTTATGTACTAGCCGTCTAGCATATAGAAGTCATAAATCTTTTTCTTACAAAATGAGATATTTCAAATCCCCTTATGCATTACAGAATCATCAACACAGCAAGAAAGCCCTCTGCAGGATGCTCACCTGGCTGAATCGCCTCTTTAAGATTGTTTGAAGTTTGAAAAATGTTTTTAAATTCTCTCTGGCACTTGATAGGATAGTATCTGAGAAGTCTTTCTCAATCCGCAGGCCATGGACTAGATCATACAGAGGACCATTCCAGAGAAACTGTAAGATGAGTATCCACTTAGTAAGGTCTTCATTCTAAGCAAACATAAGAAACAGTCTCATTAAAATATTGATAATTCAATTGTTTTTTTTTCCATTTATTTTTATTAGTTGGAGGCTAATTACTTTACATCATTGCAGTGGTTTTTGTCATACATTGAAATGAATTAGCCATAGATTTACATGTATTCCCCATCCCGGTCCCCCCTCCCACCTCCCTCTCCGCCCTATCCCTCTGGGTCTTCCCAGTGCACCAAGTCCGAGCACTTGTCTCATGCACCCAACCTGGGCTGGTGATCTGTTTCACCCTAGATAATATACATGGTTCGATGCTATTCTCTTGAAACATCCCACCCTCGCCTCCTCCCATAGAGTCCACAAGTCTGTTCTATACATCTGAGTCTCTTTTCTGTTTTGCATATAGGGTTATCATTACCATCTTTCTAAATTCCATATATATGTGTTAGTATACTATAATGGTCTTTATCTTTCTGGCTTACTTCGCTCTGTATAATGGGCTTCAGTTTCATCCATCTCATTAGAACTGATTCAAATGAATTCCGCAGCACTGTTTATAATAGCCAGGACATGGAAGCAACCTAGATGCCCATCAGCAGATGAATGGATGAGGAAGCTGTGGTACATATACACCATGGAATATTACTCAGCCATTAAAAAGAATTCAATTGTTTTTGTAACATGTGATCTTTGCTCAGAGCAGCTCTCCTACAAGACTTCTGTTTATTCTTATGTGTATGCAGAGATTTTTGAAGGTAGTAAAAGTTGAAAAATGATAAAATGCAAGCATTGACTCACAATTCACTGAATTATTAAAAATCTGGGTTACTTTAGGCACTGATTCTTCTGATGGGCTCTAATTATAACATTAAGAATATTCTTATTTCCTCTGAAATTCTACCACCCACACAGTGAGTTCTTTTATGTTTGTATATTTGTGTGAGAGAAATCTAAGTATTTTATGACAAGTCAGTATGTGCCTGCATTACCTGACCTAGGAAAGAGACATTCTACCTGTGCCCACATCATGGTAACCCAATGATACTTTCGTATTAATGAATCAGATGAACCATTCGTATTGATTTTTCATCAGTAATTTGTTTTTTGATATTACAACAAAGAGACAATGAAGAAGACATGACATTCCTAAACAGGCTTTCTTTCCTCAGTTGATCCCAACACCAGCCCCCATGCTGGTATCAGAAGAGTCTGTCTTGTTGACACTTGTCCAGGCAGAAAATGGCACAGCTTTGTCTTTAGTAACAGCATCAGTGGGATTCACAATGCAGGGTGCCCCCCCCCCAGGTTCACTACTATCAGTAGAATTGGGCATGAAAATCCCAGGAGGCTGAAGATCTCTAGTTAATATGCTTGATTTGTTTACAGCCATGAACTGTTTTAGTGGAAAAGAACAGAGAACTGTGTAGGATGAAATATAGTAATGTACATAAAGTGCTTAGTAAAATGTATGGCCATGTAGTAACTCAATAAACTTTAAATTCAAGCTTATTGAAAAATCCCTCATCCTCCTCCATTTTGAACTTTTCCTTTACTTGATCATCCTCATTATTTATGTGCTTAACAGAGGAAAAGAATGCTGGTATCGTTAAGAAAGTTGTAGAGAGAAAAGATAGAATTTTAAGGGGGGATGCATGTCAAAATATTTTAAATAATGTTAGGACGAAGGAAAATGCAGGAAATCAGAAAGGAGATGTTATAATGGTGAAAATTTGGAGCTGCCATTGATCATTGGGGCTTGTATGTAACCTGTGTTGTCCTCAGAACAGAGGCAATTGTTGTGGCCATGAAAAGCAAAGCAATGTTATATAGGCCATTGTGGGGGAAACTTACACATTAAAAATAAAAGGTGACAGAGGAGTCTTTGAGAATGATGAATGAAGGAGGTGTCATTGAAGTAGAAGCAGAGTCAGGAGAGCTTTGAAAGGCAGAGGCGCTGGCTCGAGTGGTGCAGTGTAGGACTCCCACGTGCGAGTCACTAGTAACAGGGAGTACTCAAAACTGGGGTGTGTTTCTTACATACTCATGAATTTTGCAATCTTATGTTTTACACATGGAAGTTCCCATTCATTTCATGTTTTTGTACAGAATAATAGCTGCAATCCTGTGTCTAATGCATTGCTTGAACTAAACTTGTCTGCATGGACAATTTATAGAACTGTTATTGATTTTGCTGCTACAGATCTTTAGTCATCCTTTGATTTCACTCAAGCTTCATCAACTACATAATATAATTTATCTTCAACTGCTTACAGTGCCTCTGCCATTTTCTGCCTCTAATAATTATCCACCTCTAAGTTACCATTACCTCTAACAATCAGAAACTTGGTAAGCTACATACTGTCTCATTTGATCCGGTGAAAAACCCAGGTGAAAGACTCACATTCATCTGTTGGGCTTTTTCTCTTTCTTCTGGAGCATGGATTGAATTGGTGTGGCAGTCGTTGGTGGCATTGATATACTCTGGTATACTCTGGGAATACTTTTCATCCTGAAAGTGATCAGGCAATTAGTTAGGGATGTTGGGCATTCAGTAGATGAACCCATTACCAGAACATTAACATGTTTTATAGATGTGTAATTTTTTAATGGGGGGACATCAGAGAATTTGAAAGTCATACTTTTCCTACTTTTTCTATATATTGTCTCTATAAAAATGATTTTACATCTAAGTTTTCTAAGCTCAAATTTTTCCCTTCTCTATTTTATCATTATCTTTTTTTTTCTTTTTTAGTATTTGAACCATATATAGTAATTTTGTACCAATACTTGGTGCTTCCCAGGTGACAGTAGTGGTAAAGAGCATTCCTGCCAATTCAGGAGATAGAGGAATACTCAGATTTGATCCCTAAGTGAGGAGCATCCCTTGCAAGAGGGTACAGCACCACACGCCTGGATTCTCGCCTGGTGAATCCAATGGACAAAGGAGCCTCTTGGGCTACATCAGTAGGGTTGCAAAGAGTTGGACACAACTGATGAGACTTAGAATGCATAGGTGCACCTATGTTTAACCATTTAATCTCTTCTTTACTGTGGGTTAGAGCCAATATATTCCCTTATAAGGAGTAATAGAGTAATGACTTTGTCTCATCTCTGAATCCGCTCACCAAAAAACTTAGTGTTCATCCCAGGCGCAGAATACAATGCTGTTTAAGGTGACAAAATGGTACATCAGAAAAGCATGGCCTAAAGTTATAGGAAATAAAAAGCAATGGAATGAGAATAAAAAGATTAGAAAAATCTAGCTAACACTTTGATAGAGAAAAACTAGTCTTTAGAGGAAGTTATGAACATTTGAAGAGATTACTTGGAAGAGGTGGGAAAAAAATGGACAGTCAAAAATGGAGGATGAAACAAACACTAGTGAGTAAAAAGAACTACGTGAATATAATAGAAGACTGCAGCACCACCTTTTATTAGCTGTCTGCTCTACTGTGTGCTCCTTGATTGACCTAAAAGAATTAACATTCAACTTTCAAATACCTCCATCAGAAAAAGAATAATTTTGTCCAATTGTAAACTCCCCTTCTATTGTAGCTACAAACCTATTCACTGCAAATCTTAAAGCAATAATTTGTAGCATTAAAAAAACTACCAAAAATCGTTTTTGTGACCAGGATTCAGCTTTGCTTAACATGTTCCATCCACCCAGTTCACTGCAGAACAGCTCTCATTTATTGCCTATTTACTCTGAGCCTAGAGAAGAAAGCCCAGAGAGACACTGAAGGACCAAAAAATCACCATGCTTCCTTGTCCCCAATCCCACCTAAAACTGCTTTCTGTCAGGTAGTATTATGGACTGAATGTGTGTTCTTCAAATTCACATGTTAGAGCCCGAACTGCCAAAGTACTGTGTTTTGAAAAGGGTTCTGACTTTTTGGCACGCCATGGTCTATAGCCCACCAGACTCCTCTGTCCATGGATTTCTCAGGCAAGAATACTGGAGGGGCTTGCCGTTCCCTTTTCCAGGGAATCTTCCAGAGCCAGGGATAGAACCCAAGTCCCTCCCATTGTGGGCAGATTCGTTACCACCTGAGCCACCAGCAAAGCCCATTAAGGTTAAATGAGCTCTTAGGATACAACACTCATCCAATAGGTTTAGTGTCTCCATGAAGCGAAACACCAGAGAATTTCTCTTCTGTCTCTGTGTCTGTGTGTCCTTTCCTCTGTCTGTCTGCCCCACTCCCCACCCTGTGTGAGGACGCATGGAGAAGCCATCCTGGGAAGAAAGAGTTCTTACCAGAACCTCACCTTGCTGGTGCCCTGATCGGGGACTTCTAGCCCCCAGAGCTGTGAGGAAATAAATTTCTGGTGTTTATTCCACTAAGTCTATTGTATTCTTTTATGGCATTCCTAGCTGACAAATACAAAATCATTTATTTTAGAAATTTAAAGAAAAAAATGAATGAAAGGAAATGGAAAAATTTATTGCACTTCTTAGGAGTCTTTGATATTTCACAAAACAGTTGCTTTCTTCGATTTGCACACCTTATGAGCTGACAGCGTCTTTAAACTAGAGAGTGTGTTATTTGAGTTTGTTTGATGCAGCCCTCTTGTTGAAAGGACAGCATGGCCCAGTCACTTATGTGAAGGTACCTTCTGGGAGCCTGGCGGGCTACAGTCCATGGGGTCTCAAGAGTCAGTCGGCCATGACTTAGCATCTAAACCACCACCACCACAGTACTTACAAATTCATTGAACATTATTGTGGAAAGGTTATGCATGTCATAGGACAGCCTGGAGACATGGCTAAATGTCTTTCCAAGGAACTTCAGGGGGACGCCAAACACGTCAGGACCGCAGGAGGGGCATACTTTGCCTTGGCACAGAAGCAGATTTGACATGACCAGCAGCAGGAGCAGGCAGGACTCTGCTAAAATAAAAACATGAGCCATTCTGAGATGATCAGGTCACCTGAGGTTATCAAATCCATCCTGTGGTGGGACACCTTCTCCTTCCCTGTTGCTCTGAGCAGGAGTTGGTGCTATAGTAGCTCGGGTGGGGAAGAAGGAGCGCCTTCTGTGTAATTTAGATGGATGATGACATTTGCACAGATAGAGAGCTGGAGAAGTAGGTCACTCCCTCCATTTTTGCTTTGCTCCCGGAAGTACTTCTGTGCTCTGCAAACATTTGGAACTTAATTCTGAGCCAGAGTATTTAGGCCATTCTTTTTTAGATGGCTTAATGTTGAGACTCTGCAGACTCTGAGCAGCCAGGCCCTCTAGGAGTTTCTAATTTTTTTACTCTACATTGACTTACGCTTGAATTTTAGACACTGAAATGACAAGAAGTGTACAGTTGATCTGTGTGGTTTACCATCACGCTGGGGTAAGAGTAAACACGTGACTGACTGATCGCTGCTACTGAGCACAGAGAGAAGACTCAGAGAAAAAGGACACCATGCCTTGGGGTTGCTAACTCAGCTTCGTAAGCCCATGCAGGTTTTTGATGCTTTCCCAAAAACTTTAAAACATCTTAAAAGTTGTGTTTCACGGTAAACTTGTGAATTAGCGTTCATCTTCACTATGATCATCAAATTATGTTAATGAAGATGCAATGACTTGGAGAGGGCAAATAATTTTCCCCAGGTCCCATTATTAGCACATGGAGGTGACTGGGCACCAACACAGTCATCTGTTCACTTGCTGATGTCACATCACACATGCCTGTGGGCTCTCTGTCTGCATTATGTTACTAGGACCACACCAGGAGGTGTGTTGACCCTGCTTAAATCAAAAAATATTTTGTCTTTGACTGCAAAACAGCAGTGACCCTAGAACACTGGTTTTATCCACTTGTTCTGCTCTGTCTATAAAACTCTCACTGTTAAAGTCTTTGACAATTATCAGTGTGGGGGCCTGGTTCTCCTGGATAGCCCTGAATCTAGGCAACTTCACAGCCCTTCTACTTTTATGCATCCTTAATCTTCTCATTATGTTTGTTTCTTTGAGACAATGGCAGGTAAATCTCCAGATGGTCATCAAGAATCTTGCCTGCTCAGCACCCAGGACCCCTCGCTGGCTCTGCGGACACGGCCTGGTCTTTCCTGACTGTGACATTTCAGAGAGAAAATCCATCTGTCTGGTCGGGAGCACATCCTGATAACCATGGGGCTCAGTTTTTGAACCATCTCCGAACAGCTCCTCTTTGATAGGAGAACTAGACCTTCATGCTTTGATGTATTGTAATATTTCAGAAATTATTCCTGGCCCTACCTTTGGCCAATAGAAGCATAAAATCATAGATTCTTGCAAGCATGATTTTAAAATTACTTTTCCTGTCTGTCCTTTGTAAGTAAGCAGAATTTAAGTCTGAAGTGAGCAAGAATTAGTTTGGACAAGAGAAGTAATAAAATGGAGGTTTTATCCTCCTGAATAAGATCTCAACATGATTCTTTTTTCAGTTTACCAGAATAGTGGTAATTTAATTAATGATAAGATATCAGCATTTACTAGGTTTTCTCTGCTCTTAGTTAGTTTAAAGGGGCATGGTACCTAAGAATAAAATGGTTATTTAAAATTTGGTGGTGAAAACCAAAGAAGTATTTCTCAAAAAGAAGTCATATAAGTTGGAGAAAGTAGGGATTATCTCTCTCATCAACTAAAGAGCTTATTGTGACAGCCAAGGAGAATAATAGCTTGTATAACATAGATGTATTGTGTGCATATATTTCTGTGCATGTATACATGTGTTATGAATAAATATATGCTTAATTCCTAAATGGAACTTTGGACCTTATAAAATTCAGTTTTATAACAGGCAGTAAATATAGCAGAATACCCTAATTCCTAAAGTATTTGATCATTTGTTGGTAGATGACTAACTATATGATTTATTTTTTTGTTAAAGTGTTATTTGTGTGTTTGCTTTGGTAGCACATATATTAAAACACTGGAATAATACTGAGAGGATTAGCATGGCCCCTGCCCAAGGATGACACACAAATGTGTGAAGCCTTCCAAATTTTTCTGTAACAACCTCCAGGGGTGCGATGTGAAGAAAGGTCGGGAGGAGGTTCAAGGTTGACGGGACATAGGTAAACCTATGGCTGACCCATGCTGATGTTTGGCTGAAAGCAGTCCAGTATTGTAAAGGAATTGCGCTTCAATTAATGATCAATAAATTTAAGTATTAAAACTGTTACTGGGGATCATATAACAGGTTCAGATATCCATTGTATGACTAAAGAAGATCTGACTGGAAACTGAAGGTGTCAATTATCCTTGGTTATTGATTCATTAACTTTATAGTTGAATGAGAAAAGTAAGCTAACAAACACTATTGTCTGTGACTCAGTGTCACAGCAAGCTATAATCCTTGTCTGTGTTCGCTTTTAGGTGGTATAGTGCCCAAACTTGGAAACTGAGGCCATTCCCAGAAGCACACAGTCATGAGTTCTATTCAGGGTTTCTGTTTCTGATGCTGGAGGCTTCTGTTTGCTGGTCCACTAGGTCCGAAACTTTCTCTCCTGAGCATTCTCTGGTTCTATCATGTGCACAAGTCTTTCTATTTTGGTGTCTAATTTGATTCTCTTATTCTTTTAATCAGACTACCAAGTATCTTTATGATTTACTTTTTAGACCCTTTGTACTTTGATTTTTCTGATGCTCATTAGTGTATTTGCTTCCATGTCTAAATCTGAGTAGTTTTCAGTATCTACACATACAATACCCTATTTGCTACCTGTCTTGATTTTGGCGTTCAGCATCAGCATATTTTTATGAGCTTCATTTTTCTTCTGGTGAAGTTTCTGATATTCAGCTTAAGCTGGTTGGCTCCCATCTGGAGCCATTTTGTCTCCAAAAAATTAGAGAACTCTGCTTTCTTTCTAGGGCAATACTGCCCCTTCTCTTGATACCATTGCTAATTTTCTGTGATTTCACTTCCTGCATCATAAGCTTAGTCTTTCTCAATCTACTGTAACTTGAAGGGTGTGTGTCTCTATATTGGTATTACAATTTTATTTTATTTTGTTAATTTTAATTGGAGGCTAGTTACTTTACAATATTGTATTGGTTTTGCCATACATTGAAAGGAATCTGCCATGGGTGTACATGTGTTCCCCATCCTGAAACGCCTTCGGTGTGTATGCCCAGTAGTGGGATTGCTCAGTCATATGGCAGTTCTATTTCCAGTTTCTTAAGGAATCTCCACCCTGTTCTCCATAGTGTCTGTATTACTACTTTAAATAAATATCAATCTAGTATACCAGAGAATTAAAGGGAATAAAATTACAATATTATTACTAATAATACAGTCCCCCAAATTATAATCCAGTAATGCTCCCAGTTTTAAATGACTTTCTACCTATGTATTATTGAGGTCCCCTACTTACTCCTTACTAGGTGTTTCAATTTTGAAATAGAATGTAGAAAACAATGGAGTGGAAAGTTCTGAAAAACACCCTGGATTTTAGATGCCTCAAGATTAAGTATGTAATTATTAGTTTGATTTTTTTTAAGTTAGTAGGGCAATTCATAGCACATAGCTCAGTGTAGGGTGATTGCTATTGAGTGAAGGATGCATACTGTGAACTGCAATCACCAAACAGCTGATTGGAAATAAAGCAATACCAGGAAAACAGAAGCTTTTGTTCTGGAAGGAAAAACTTACAGTGTCTCTCCTCTACAGTCTGATCTTCAGATTTTTCAAACCACTTATTCCTCCTTTGCTCATTTAATAATTTGATTTGTTTGATTTTTTTCCCCACTGAGTTGCATGAGTCTCTTATATAAACTATATATGAAGCCCTTACCAAATATGTGATTTGCAAATTTTTTTTTCATTCCAAAGGTTGCCATTTAATTTTATTGATGGGTTCTTTTACTGTGCAGAAGGTTTTGAGTTTGATGTGGTCTCACTAGTTTATTTTTGCAGCTCTTCCCTTTGCCTCTGAAGACTAACTTGTTTGAGCTGCTTCTATTTTGGAAAATGACCCTTTATCAGTTGTTTTATTTGCTTTTATCTTCTCCCATTCTTACCAAAATACACAGACTGGATGAATGGATACAAAAACAAGACCCATATATATGCTGTCTACAAGAGACCCACTTCAGTACTAGAGACACATACAGACTGAAAGTCAGAGGATGGAAAATGATATTCCAAGCAAATGGAATTCAAACAAAAGCTGATTGGCAATGGTCATGTCAGAAAAAATAGACCTTAAAATAAAAACTATTATAAGAGATAAAGAAGGACACTACCAAATGATCAAGCTTCAGTCCAAGAAAAAGACAAAAACAATTTTAAATATCTATGTAACCAACATATGAGCACCTCAGTACATAAGGTAATCACTAACTGACACAAAAGGAGAAATTGACAGTAACACAGTAATAGTAGGGCATGTTAACATTGCACCTGTACTAATGGGCAGATCAACAAAATAGAATATTAATAAGGAAACATCAGCCTACAAGGAAATATTAGGGCAAACAGACCTAATTGATATCTTCAGCACATTCCATCCAAATGCAGAATACACTTTCTTCTCAAGTGCATATGGAAAATTTTCCTCATTGTGGGTCACAAATCAAACCTCAGTAAATTTAAGGAAATTGAAATTATATCAAGCATTTACTCTGACCTCAACACTATGAGACTCGATGTAGATTATAGGGAAAAAAAAAAAAACAACTTTAAAGAACACAAATACATGGAGATTCAACCACAAATTTCTAAATAATAAACAAGTTACTGAAGAAATAAGGGAAATCAAAACATTCCTAGAAACAAAGAAAAATGAAAACATGATGATTTAAACCTATAGGATACAGCAAAAGTAATTCTAAGAGGGAAGTTTATAGTAATACAAATCCTACCTCAAGAAACAAGTTGAATAGACAACCTAAGTTTACATATCTTTAGCTCTTTTTAAATTTCTCTTATCAATGTCTTAGAGGTTTTGTATAAAATCTTTCATCACCTTGCTTAAGTGTAGTTTTGTCTTTTATCTTTTTGTGATACAATAGTAAATGGGCTTGTTTACTTTATTCAACTTTCTGATAGTTCATTCTCTATATATAGGTAGGCAATAGAGTTTCGTATATTGGAATATAGTAAACATATTGTATGCTACATCTTTAAAGAATAGACATTTTCCCACAAATAAGACATATAGATGGTCAAGAGGTATATGACAAGATGCTTAGCATTGCTAATAATCAAAGGAAATGCTGATCAAAAGCACAATAGATATCACCTCATACCTGTTTGAATGGCTAGTACCAAAAATGTAAGAAATGACAGATCTTGTGGAGGTTGTGGAGAAAAAGGAGTGCTTATGCACTCTTGGTAGGGATGTATACTGGTCCAACTCCTATGGAAAAATACTATGGAGGTTCCTCAAGAAATTTAAAAGAGAATTGTTATGTGATCCATTATCCCACTTCTGGATATACAGTCAAAGGAAATGAAATCATTTTCTCAAAGAGAGATCTGTATCTCCATGTTCATTGCAGCATTATTCACAGTAGCCTTGATATAGGAATAAGCTGAGTATCTTTCAACACGTGAATGGATTAAAACAATGTGATGTGACACATATAGGTAAGTATTGAGTGAAGTAAGCCAGAAAGATAAAGACCATTACAGTATACTAACACATATATGGAATTTAGAAAGATGGTAACGATAACCCTATACGCAAAACAGAAAAAGAGACTCAGATGTATGGAACAGACTTATGGACTCTGGGAGAAGGCGAGGGTGGGATGTTTCAAGAGAACAGCATCGAAACATGCATATTATCTAGGGTGAAACAGATCACCAGCCCAGGTTGGGTGCATGAGACAAGTGCTCAGGCCTGGTGCACTGGGAAGACCCAGAGGGATCGGGTGGAGAGGGAGGTGGGGGGGGGGGACCGGGATGGGGAATACATATAAATCCATGGCTAATTCATTTCAATGTATGACAAAAGCACTGCAATGATGTAAAGTAATTAGCCTCCAACTAATAAAAATAAATGGAAAAAAAAAAAATAAGGCTCCCTGCTTCCCACCCCACCGCCCCCCCCCCAATTCCACTGCCCACTCCCTTCAGTCTGCTCTCCACAGAGCAGCCGGAGGGACCCTCAATCCATCAATCAGATCACACCACTCCTCCATTCAAAGACCCTCCTCAGGCTTCCCGCTTTCACTCCAAATAAAAGCCAAAGTCTTTAAAAATAAATAAATAAATAAAATAAATAAATAAAAATAAATCAAAAATCTGAGATAAACCATAACCACATGTATAACAGCTTTCAGGGAGCTCTTGGAGTCCTAGCTGATTATGGAACCCAAGAATGGTCTTGGGAGATCCCCAAACTTGTAATTGCTATCTGAAGTGAATAAAGTCTTGAGGACTTTCCACTCTGAAATTTGTGTCTGCAAAGACCCCTTTCTTCATATGCATAGTCATCATATTATCATGTTTGGCTACTGGTACTTTGTCTAAGAACTCTGTAATTAACTCATATTTCAAATAAGGACATGTATAGGAAGGGGGGGATTCCTCAATGACTGATAACCAAGGAAGACGCTGGAGATACTCATTTATTGTTGTGAAAACTATAAAGGAGTTTGCCATCTCAGACCCTCCACCTGAGGCTGCTGGTCCTTATTCTACTTCCTTAGTCCTCGGCTTCCTATCAGCACCACAGAGCATTCAGTACGCATGAGGCATTGGGTTACCGGACAAGTCAGTCTCCTTGTTGGCTACCATGGTCTAAATGCTTGTGTTCTTCCAAAATTCATATGTTGAAAACCTAATCCCCAAAGTGATGATTTCAGGAGGTGGGACCATTGGAAAATGATTAGGTCATGTATAAAACATGATTCCAAACTGAGGTTTGTTCTTTTTTTCGAAAAGAAAATTATAGATTGGTTGAGCAGCTTCCCTGTTTGGATCTCTTATCCTTTTCATTATCTGTTCTATCTCATAATGTATTTCTCTAGCTTACCTTTAAGAACAAATCATTAATAGAAATAATCACTTGACTGTTATGGAATATTACTTTTATCTTTGATCTTCCACTGAAAAGCAGGAGTTGTAGTTAAGCACAGTAGTGAGAGAAACTGTTTCTAAATGTCACCATGTCAACTTGAGAAGTTTGCTGTGTGTAGTTGGTCCATCATGTCCAATACTTTATGACCCCAAGGACTGACGACCCCATGGACTGACGACCCCATGGACTGCAGCCAGCCAGGCTCCTCTGTCCATGGGGATTCTCTAAGTAAGAACACTGGGGTGGTTGACATGCCCTCCTCCAGGGATCTTCCTGACCATGGATGGAGCCCAGGTCTCCTGTACTGCAGGCGGACTCTTCACTGTCTGAGCTGCCAGCTCCTAATAAAATGTATCCTGAAGTATACAGAAGATGAGTGATTTGTCTACTTTTGTTTCCTGCAACAGTGGGTTATTTTCCCAGCTAACATATAAGTCCCGTTTCTATTTACCTGAACGCTGTCTAGAATTCAAGTTCGCTCTAAAAGAAAGACATTAACACAAAAGGAACTTTTATCTGAAATAGCAGTTAAGATTTTGTTCAGTTGTTAGTTTATCCAAAATACTAGAAGCTGAGTATTTGTTTTTAATTATCGGAAAGAGTTAAGATTTTGTCCAGTTGTCAGTTTATCCAAAATACCAGAGGCTGGCTATTTGTTTTTAATTATAATATTTACCTCAGAAAGAACAAATGGCTGGCCAGTTTCTGCCATGTTCGATACTCAACGAAAAGTAACGTCAGGGCAGCTGGTGTACCCATGTAGCCCAAGTGGAACTGAATTAAAGGAGTGGGGATTGGTGTTGTTCAGATAATTAACTATAATATAAGTCAGAATGTGGAGAGGCAGATAAAAATTGTGAGAATGAAATTAGGAAGCCATAAGGAGGAAGATGGTACTTTCACCTAGGAAAAGTAGGTAACAACTCATCAAGGAGGGGAATTCCTTTTGTACCTTCAAAGAAGGATTGGGTGTTTCTATACAACGTAAGAATATTTGATTTGTAGGTTCTCCTTAAAGTATTTTTATCTGTCATGATCAGAGAGTACAGCTAAGAAGGTAAACTCCTCTAGTGAAATTAACAATACTATGGTAAAAAGTAGACTCAAGGGGCAGGTTTCAAGCACTGTCTCTAGTTCTGTCCTATTCAGTCTTTTAGTCAGTGACTCGATTATCACATTATCTTAGGACAGGAAGCTGTGAGGGCTAGTGTAAGTGGAATAAAAGACCTAACATCCACTGCTTTCCTTCTAATAGGGTAACAATTGATCGGGTGGAGAGGGAGGTGGGAGGGGGGATCAGGATGGGGAATACATATAAATCCATGGCTGATTCATGTCAATGTGTGACAAAAACCACTACAATATTGTAAAGTAATTAGCCTCCAACTAATAAAAATAAATGAACAAAAAATAGGACACCCATTTCACAGAGCATGCATGAAAAAGCTATAAATTTCAAAGAAGCTTGCTATGGGATAGATCATTAGGACCATCTGAGAGCTGGAAGGAATGGTTGTGGATTTAGCACTCGCCGCTGATTCGGCACGCCAGGATCTTGCTGTACATGTCAACTTTACACGAATCCCTGCTCAGGCACTTGAACAGATTATAAAATGCAGAATGATGCATATCTCCATTGCTAGACACCAGGGATCTGTATCCTGACCAGTAAATGCGATTCTTGGTCAACTTCAATCTGACTGGATCAACAATATGAATACCCAAAAGAAAATGACTTTTTATGCATTTTATTATTATTTGCTTATCTTTGTCCCTTGTAATTATAAATTAAGATTTGGGGAAGACATACGAATAGAAAACCCTCTAGATATGGATTTTGGAGCCAGCCTATGAGAAAATAATTAGGAATCTCAAAAGTAGAAACATAACTCAAGTTTAATTTTAACTTTCTCTTTTTTCCTTCCCACTATCATCCTTTGATTTCAGAAAAGCAGAGAAAGAAGGCAAGTGGAAATTCAACAGCAGATGTCCTGGGATACTTTGAGGAAAATGCTGAGCTTGGAAATTCTGTTCTCTAGTTCTCTTACTATTGAAAATATTTCAACCACCTATGCCTAGGAAGAAGCAAGCTTTTGGTGGAATTGTGTGCAATGCAGGGAAAGCTGCACATGACAAAATATGCAGTGAAATTCTGATTCCTTTACAGTAGAATCCATCACTATGAATGACTAGGCTCCTGCTTTATGTATGAGCAGTCTAGCATACAGAAGTAATGAATCTTTTTCTTACAAAATGAGATATTTCAAATCCTCTTATGCGTTACAGAGTCATCAACAAACGAGAAATCCCTCTGCAGGATGCTCACCTGGCTGAATCACATCTCTAAGATTGTTTGAAGTTTGAATAATTTTTTAAAATTCTTTCTGGCACTTGATAGGATAGTATCTGAGAGGTGTTTCTTAAACCACGAATCATGGGCTCGATCATACAGAGCATCTCTCCAGAGATACTGTAACATGAGTATCCACTTAGTAAGGTCTTCATTCTAAGCAAACATAAGAAACAGCTTCATTAAAATAATCATAATTCAGTGGTTTTGGTAACATGTGATCTTTGCTCAGAGCAGCTTACCTACAAGACTTCTGTTATTTCTTATGTGTATGCAGAGAATTTTGAAGGTAGTAAAAGTTGCAAAATGATAAAATGTAAGCATTAGTTCACACTTCGCTGAATTATTAACAATCTGGTTTACTTTAGGCATTAATTCTTCTGATGAGTTCTAATTTATAACATGAAGAATATTCTTTTTTCCTCTGAAATTCTACCACCCACTGGGTGAGTTCTTTGATGTTTGTATATTTGCGTGAGAGAAATCTAAGTGTTTTATGACAAGTCAGTATGTGCTTTCAGTACCTGACCCAGGAAAGAAGCATTCTACCTGTGCCCACATCATTGTCACCCAGTGATTCTTTCATATTAATTAATCAGATGAGTCATTTGTGTTGAGTTTCAATTTTTAATCTGTTTTATGATGCTACAAGAAAGAGACAATGAAGAAGACATACATTCCCAAACAGGCTTTCTTTCCTCACCAGCCCCCATGCTGGTATCAGAAGAGTCTGTCTTGTTGACACTTGTCCAGGCAGAAAATGGCACAGCTTTGTCTTTAGTAACAGCATCAGTGGGATTTACAATGGAGGGTTTTCCCCCCTAGTTCACTACTACTAGTAGAATTGAGCATGTAAATCCCAGGGTGCTGAAGATCTCTAGTTAATATGCTTGATTTCATTATAGCCATGAACTGTTTTAATGGTAAAGAACAGAGAACTGAGTAGGATGAAATATAGTAATGCACATAAATTGCTTAGTAGAATGTATGGCCATGTAGTAACTCTCAATAAACTTTAAATTCAAGCTTCTTGAAAAATCCCTCGTCCTCCTCCATTTTGAACTTTTCCTTTACTTGATCATCCTTATTATTAATGAGCTTAACAGAGGAAAAGAATGCTGATATCATTAAGAAAGCTATAGAGAGAAAAGATAGAATTTTAAGGGGGGGATGCATGTCAAAATATTTTAAATAATGTTAAGATGAAGAATAATGCAGGAAATTGGAAAAGAGAGATTATAACGGTGAAAATTTGGAGCTACCATTAATCATTGAGGCTTGTATGTAACCTGTGTTGTCCTCAGAACAGAGGCAGTTGTTGCGGCCATGAAAAGCAAAACAATGTTTTATAGGCTATTGTGGGGGAAACTTACACATTAAAAATAAAAGGTGACAGAGGAGTCTTTGAGAATGATGAATGAAGGAGGTGTCATTGAAGTAGAAGCAGAGTCAGGAGAGCTTTGAAAGGCAGAGGCGCTGGCTCGAGTGGTGCAGTGTAGGACTCCCACGTGCGAGTCACTAGTAACAGGGAGTACTCAAAACTGGGGTGTGTTTCTTACATACTCATGAATTTTGCAATCTTATGTTTTACACATGGAAGTTCCCATTCATTTCATGTTTTTGTACAGAATAATAGCTGCAATCCTGTCTCTAATGCATTGCTTGAACTAAACTTGTCTGCATGGACAATTTATAGATCTGTTATTTATTTTGCTACTACGAAATCCCTTGATTTCGCTCATGCTTCATCAACTGCATAATATAATTTCTCTTCAGCTGCATACAGCTCCTCGAACATTTTCTGCATGTACAGCTACCATTACCTCTAATAATTTGAAGCTTGGTAAGACATACTGTCTTATTTGATCCGGTGAAAAACCCAGGTGAAAGACTCACGTTCATCTGTTGGACTTTTTCTCTTTCTTCAGGCGCATGGACTGAATTGGTGTGGCAGTCGTAGGTGGCATTGATATAATCTGGTTTACTCTGGGAATGCTTTTCAACCTGAAAGTGATCAGGCAATTAGTTAGGGATGTAAGATATTCAGTAGATGAGCCCATTACCAGAAAGAACATTAACATGTTTTATAGATGTGCAATTTTTTTATGGGAGGGGCGTCACAGAATTTGAAAGTCATTCTTTTCCTACTTTTTCTATATATTGTCTCTATAAAAATGATTTTACACCTAACTTTTCTAAGTTCAGAATTTTTCCCTTCTCTATCTTATCATTATCTTTTTTTTCCTATTTTTTATTATTTGAACCAAATTTAGTACTTTTGTACCAATACTTGTTGCTTCCCAGGTGATGGTAGTGGTAAAGAGCATTCCTGCCCATTCAGGAGATATAAGAAGCCTCAGGTTTGATTCCTAGGTGAGGAACATCCCTTGAAAGAGGGTCCAGCACCACACTCCTATACTCTGGCCTGGAGAATCCTATGGACAAAGGAGCCTCTTGGTCTACCTTGTAGGGTTGCAAAGAGTTGGACACAACTGATGTGACTTAGAATGCATGGATGCACATATATTTAACCATTTAATCTCTTGTTTACTGTGGGTTAGAGCCAATATATTCCCTTATAAGGAGTAATAGAGTAATGACTTTGTCTCATCTCTGAATCCGCTCACCAAAAAGCTTAGTGTTCATTCCAGGTGCAGAATACAATGCTGTTTAAGGTGACAAAATGAAATATTAGAAGAAAATGGTGTAAAATTATAGGAAATACTAAGCAATGGACTGAGAATAATAAGAGTAGAAAATTCTAGCCAACACTTTGATAGAGAAAAACTAATCTTTAGCGGAAGTTATGAGCATTTGAAGAGATTACTTGGAAGAGGTGGAAAAAATGGACAGTCAAAAATGGAGGATGAAACAAAAACTAGTGAGTACAAGAACTATATGACTTTAATAGTAACCTGTAGCACCGCCTTTTATTAGCTGTCTGCTCTACTGTGTGCTACTTGATTGACATAAAACAATTAACATACAACTTTCAAATACCTTCATCAGAAAAAGAATAATTGTTTCCAATTGTAAACTCCCCTTCTATTGTAGCACAAAACCTATTCACTGCAAATCTTAAAGCAATAATTTGTAGCATTAAAAAAACTACCAGTATTCGTTATTGTGACCAGGATTCAGCTTTGTTTAACATGTTCCATCCACCCAGTTCACTGCAGAACAGCTCTCATTTATTGCCTATTTACTCTGAGATGGAGAAAAAAGCCCAGAGAGACACTGAAGGACCAGAAAATCTCCATGCTTCCTTTTCCCCAATCCAAAATAAAAGTGCTTTATGTCAGGTAGTATTATGGACTGAATGTGTGTTCTTCAAATTCATGTGTTAGAACCTGAACTGCCAAAGTACTGTGTTTTGAAAAGTATTCTGACTTTTTGGCACACCCTGGTCTATAGCCCACCAGACTCCTCTGTCCATGGGATTTCTCAGGCAAGAATATAGGAGTGGCTTGCTGTTCCATTCTCCAGGGAATCTCCAGAACCAGGGATAGAACTCAGTTTTCTCACATTGCGGGCAGATTCGTTACCATCCGAGCCACCAGCAAAGCCCGTTAAGGTTAAGTGAGCTCTTAGGATACAACACGCATCCAATAGGTTTAGTGTCTCCATGAAGCGAAACACCAGAGAATTTTCTCTTCTGTCTCTGTGTCTGTGTGTCCTTTCCTCTGTCTCTCTTCCCCACCCCCCACCATGTGTGAGGACGCATGGAGAAGCCATCCTGGGAAGAAAGAGTTCTCAGCAGAACCTCACCTTGCTGGTGCCCTGATCAGGGACTTCTAGCCCCAGAGCTGTGAGGAAATAAATTTCTGGTGTTTATTCCACTAAGTCTATTGTATTATTTTATGGCATTCCTAGCTGACAAATACAAAATCATTTATTTTATAAATTTAAAGAAAAAATTAATGAAAGGAAACTGAAAATTTTATTGCACTTCTTAGGAGTCTTTGATATTTCACAAAACTGTTCCTTTCTTCGATTTGCACACCTTATGAGCTGACCGCGTCTTTAACCTAGAGAGTGTGTTATTTGAAGTTTGGCTGATGCAGCCCTCTTGTAGAAAGGACAGTATGGCCCAGTCACTTACATGAAGGTTCCTTCTGGGAGCCTGGCGGGCTACAGTCCATGGGGTCGGAAGAGTAGGACACGACTTAGCAACTGAACCACCACCACCACAGTACTTATAAACTCATTGAACATTATTGTGGAAAGGTTATGCATGTCGTGGGACAGCCTGGAGACACGGCTAAACGTTTTTCTAAGGAACTTCAGGGGGACGCCAAACACGTCAGGATCACAGGATGGGCATATGTTGCCTTGGCACAGGAGCAGATGTGGAATGACCAGCAGTAGGAGCAGACAGGACCCTGCTAAAATAAAAACATGAGCCATTCTGCGATCATCTAATCACCTGAGGTTATCAAATCCATCCTGTGGAGGGAAGCCTTTTTTTTCCCCTGTTGCTCTGAGCAGGGATTGGAGCTATAGTAGCTGTGGTGGAGAAGAAGGAGCGCCTTGTGTGTGAATTTGGGAGGATGATGACATTTGCACAGATAGATATTTGGAGAAGTAGGTTACTCCCTGCATTTTTGTATTGCTCCCAGAAGTACTTCTGTGCCAGAGTATTTTGTCCATTCTTTTAAGACAGTTTAATGTTGGGACTGCAGACTCTGAGCAGCCAGGCCCTCTAGGAGTGTAACTTTTTTACTCTACCTTGACTAGTGCTTGAATTATAGACACTGAAATGACAAAAAGTGTACAGTTGATCTGTGTGGTTTACCATCACGCTGGGGTAAGAGTAAACACGTGACTGACTGATCGCTCCTACTGAGCACAGAGAGAAGACTCAGAGAAAAAGGACACCGTGCCTTGGGGCTGCTAACTCAGCTTCGTAAGCCCATGCAGGGCTTTGATGCTTTCCCAAAAGCTTTAAAATATCTTAAAATGTGTGTTTCACAGTAATCCTGTGAGATAGCCTCAATCTTCACTATGATCATCAAGTTATGTTAATGAAGATGCAACGACTTGGAGAGGGCAAATAATTTTCCCCAGGTCCCATTATTAGCAGATGGAGGTGACTGGGCACCAATGCAGTCATCTGTTCACTTGCTGATGTCACATCACACATGCCTGTGGGCTCTCTGTCTGCATTATGTTACTAGGACCACACCAGGAGCTGTGATGACTCGGCTTAAATCGAAAAATATTTTGTCTTTGACTGCAAAACAGCAGTGACCCTAGAGCACTGGTTTTATCCACTTGTTCTGCTCTGTCTATAAAACACTCACTGTTAACATCTTTGACGATTATCAGTGTGGGGGCCTGGTTCTCCTGGCTAGACTTTCTTCTAGGCAACGTGACAGCTCTTCTACTTTTATGCATCCTTAATCTTCTCATTACGTTTGTTTCTTCGAGACAATGGCAGGTAAATCTCCAGATGGTCATCCAAGAATCTTACCTGCTCAGCACCCAGGACCCCGTCACTGGCTCTGTGGACACGCCTGGCCATTCCTGACTATGACGTTTCAGGGAGAAAGTCTATCTGTCTGGTCGAGAGCACATCCTGACAACCATGGGGCTCAGTTTTTGAACCATCTGCAAACATGTCCTCTTTGATAGGAGAACTAGACCTTCAGGCTTCCATGATGTATTGAAAGATTTCAGAAATTATTCCTGGCCCTACCTTTGGCCAAGAAAACTGATTAATCAGAGACTATTGCAAGCGTGATTAGAGCGAAGTAAGCCAGAAAGATAAAGACCATTACAGTATACTAACACATATATATGGAATTTAGAAAGATGGTAATGATAACCCTATATGCAAAACAGAAAAAGAGACTCAGATGTATAGAACAGACTTGTGGACTCTGGGAGAAGGCGAGGGTGGGATGTTTCAAGAGAACAGCATCGAAATACGTATATTATCTAGGGTGAAACAGATCACCAGCCCAGGTTGGGTGCATGAGACAAGTGCTCGGGCCTGGTGCACTGGGAAGACCCAGAGGGATCGGGTGGAGAGGGAGGTGGGAGGGGGGACCGGGATGGGGAATACATGTAAATCCATGGCTAATTCATTTCAATGTATGACAAAAACCACTGCAATGATGTAAAGTAATTAGCCTTCAACTAATAAAAATAAATGAAAAAAAAATAAAATAAAATTGCTTTTCCTGTGTGTCCTCTGTAAGTAAGCAGAATTTAAGACTGAAGTGAGCAAGAATCAGTTTGAACAAGAGAAATGATAAAATAGAGATTTCATCCTCCTGAATAGATCTCAACATGATTCTTTTTTCAATTTACCAGAAGAGTGGTAATTTAATTAATGATAAGATATCAGCATTTACTAGGTTTTCTCTGCTCTTAGTTAGTTTAAAGGGGCATGGTACCTAAGAATAAAATGGTTATTTAAAATTAGGTGGCGAAAACCAAAGAAGTGGTTCTCAAAAAGAAGACATATAAGTTGGAGAAATTTGGGACTATCTCTCTCATCAACTAAAGAGCTTATTGTGACAGCCAAGGAGAATAATAGCTTGTGTAACATAGACGTATTTGTCTGCATATATTTCTGTGCATGTGTACATGTGTTACGAATACATATATGCTTAATTCCTAAATGGAACTTTGGGCCTTATAAAATTCAGTTTTATAACAGGCAGTAAGTATAGCAGAATACCCTAATTCCTAAAGTATTTGATCATTTGTTTGTTGATGACTAACTATATGATTTTTTTTTTTTCTGTTAAAGTGTTATTTGTGTGTTTGCTTTGGTAGCACATATATTAAAACACTGGAATAATACTGAGAGGATTAGCATGGCTCCTGCCCAACGATGACACACAAATGTGTGAAGCCTTCCAAATTTTTCTGTAACAACCTCCAGGGGTGCGATGGGAAGAAAGGTCGGGAGGAGGTTCAAGGTTGATGGGAAATAGGTAAACCTATGGCTGACCCATGTTGATGTTTGGCAGTCCAGTATTGTAAAGGAATTGCGCTTCAATTAATGATCAATAAATTTAAGTATTAAAACTGTTACTGGGGATCATATAACAGGTTCAGATATCCATTGTATGACTAAAGAGGATCTGACTGGAATCTGAAGGTGTCAATTATCATTGGTTAGTGGTTCATTAACTTTATAGTTGAATGAGAAAAGTGAACTAATAAATATTATAATCTGTGATTCAGTATCATAGCAAGCTATAATCCTTGTCTGTGTTTGCTTTTAGGTGGTATAGTGCCCAAACTTTGAAACTGAGGCTGTTTCCAGAAGCACACATTCATGTGTCCTGCCCAGGGTTTCTGTTTCTGATGCTGGAGGCTTCTGTTTGCTGGTCCACTAGGTCCGAAACTTTCTCTCCTGAGCATTCTCTGGTTCTATCATGTGCACAAGTCTTTCTATTCTTGTTGTCTAATTTGATTCTCTTATTCTTTTGATCAGACTACCAAGTCTCTTTATGGTTTATTTTTTAGACCCTTTTGTACTTTGATTTTTCTGATGCTCATTAGTGTATTTGCTTCCAAGTCTACCTCTCTGAGTAGTTTTCAGTCTCTACATATACAATACCCTATTTGTTAACTGTCTGGATTTTGGCATTCAGCATCAGCATATTTTTATGAACTTTATTTTCCTTCTGGTGAAGTTTCTGGTATACAGCTTAAGCTGGTTGGCTCCCATCTGGCTTGTTCATTTTGTCTCCAAAAAATTAGAGAACTCTGCTTTCTTTCCAAGGAATACTGCCCCTTCTTTTGATACCATTGCTAAGTTTCTGTGATTTCACTTCCTGTGTCATAAGCTTTGTCTTTCTCAATATACTGTAAATTGAGGGCTATGTGTCTCTATATTGGTATTACAATTTTATTTTGTTCATTTTAATTGGAGGCTAGTTACTTTACAATATTGTATTGGTTTTGCCATACATTGACAGGAATCTGCCATGGTTGTACAAGTGTTCCCCATCCTGAACCACCTTCCCACCTCCTTCCCCATCCCAACCTTCTGGGTCATCACAGAGATGAGCCCTGAGCACCCTGGATCATGCATCGAACCTGGACTAGCGATTCGGGTCACATGACATAGTATACATGTTCCAATCCCATTCTCATAAGTCATCCCACCCTCACCTCACCCACAAAATCCAAAAGACTGTTCTATATACCTTTGTGTCTTTATCTGTTCGCATACAGTGCTATTGTTCCCATCTTTCTGTAATCCATATATATGCATTTGTATACTTTATTGGTGTTTCTCTTTCTGGCTTATTAACTCTGTATAATAGGGTTCAGTTTCATCCACCTCATTAGAACTGATTCAAATCTATACTATTTAATGGCTAAGCAATATTCCATTGTGTATATGTACCACAGCTTTCTCATCCATTCATCTGCTGATGGGCATCTAGGTTGCTTCCATGTCCTGCCTATTATAAACAGTGTTGCAATGAACATTGGGGTACACGTGTTTCTTTCAATATGGGTTTCCTCGATGTGTATGCCCCATAGTGGGATTGCTCAGTCATATGGCAGTTCTATTTCCAGTTTTTGAAGGAATCTGCACCCTCTTCTCCATAGTGTCTATATTACTACTTTAAATAAATACCAATCTAGTATACCATAGAATTAAAGGGAATAAAATTACAATAGTATTAGTAATAATACAGTCCCCCAAATTATAATCCAGTAATGCTCCCAGTTTTAAATGACTTTCTACCCATGTATTATTGAGGTCCCCTACTCACTCCTTACTAGGTGTTTCAATTTTGAAATAGAATGTAGAAAACAATGGAGTGGAAAGTTCTGAAAATCACCTTGGATTTTAGATGCCTCAAGATTAAGTATGTAATTATTAGTTTGATTTTTTTTTAAGTTAGGGCAATTCATAGCACACAGCTCAGTGTAGGGTGATTGCTATTGAGTGAAGGATGTATACTGTGAACTGCAATCACCAAAGAGGTGATTGGAAATAAAGAAAGCAATGCCAGGAAGACGGAGGTTTTTATTCTGAAAGGAAAAACTTACAGTGTTTCTCACCTACAGTCTGATCTTCAGATTTTTCAAATCACTTACTCTTCCTTTCTTCATTTAATAATTTGAGTTGTTTGATTTTTTTCCCACTGAGTTGCAAGAGTCTCTTATATAAACTATATATGAAGCCCTTACCAAATATGTGATTTACAATATTTTTTTTCATTCCAAAGGTTGCCATTTAATTTTATTGATGGGTTCTTTACTCTGAAGAAGGTTTTGATTTTGATGTGGTCTTACTAGTTTATTTTTGCAGCTCTTTCTTTCCTTTTGATGACTCTCTTGTTTGAGTTGCTTGTATTTTGGAAAGCGATCCTTTATCAGTTGTATTATTTGCTATTACCTTCTCCCATTCTTACCAAAAGACACAG